GCCTGGTCTGCTGGTTGGTGATCCTGCACATAGCAGGGGGTTGGAGCTGGATGAGCATTGTGGTCCTTTTCAACCCAGGCCATTCTACGATTCCATGATTCTATGACTGGGAGTTCCATTCAGCTGGGGTTCAGCTGGGGCACTTGCCCTTATTTCATCCCCACACATGCAGATTGCCCCAGATGCTTGTGCCAGTGCATTGCCACTCTTTCAGATCAATCACAACTTCATGCTTCCATCCCTTTGCAGGCAAGCTTCTTGCTGTCTGGCTTTTATCTTGCTGAACACCAGGCGGCCCGCTGCGAAGCTCCTTGATTTGTGACTGTGGAGAAGGAAGCGCAGATACAGACAATTAAGTGCAGAACTTAACGGTATGGATTTCCCAGCAGAACTATCAATTAGCATGAGCTGTTTGCCAGCCAGATGCATCCACTCTGCCACATCCAGGAACCACGGCCAGTGTGTTCAGCAGTGAAGCAGAGTGGCTTTCAGCAAGGGTTTTCCATGTGTTACGATATCCAGCTTTCATTTTACGTAGAAAGAGTAGGGGGAAAAAATGGGCTTTTGATGACAAAATGTTTTTTGATAGGGATCTTTGGATGGGAAGGACTCTTCTCGACAAGCATTGCTTGTCATTAAAACCTGGCTATTTTGGTAGAGATGCTTCCCTGTGGAAGGCCACGCAACAACCCACAAGGCTGGTTGGCCCCCAGTCACTCCTGGGCACGTCTGCCTACTTTAGTAGCTGCTTTTCCTACCTTAGTTTATATATGATGGGAGAAAATGGAAAGCGAGGAGAATTCTGATCTTTATCAGAGCTCTTAAACTAGGTTAGATCACTGGGCTGAGGCCAGTGGGATGAAATTCAAAGAGAGCAAATGCCAGGTCCTGCACTTTGGCCACAACAACATCAGGCAATGCTACAGACATGGAACAGAGTGGCTGAAAGCTGGGTGGAGGAAAAGGATCTGGAGGTGTTGGTTCACAGGTGTCTGAACATGAGCCAGCAGTCTGCCCTGGTGGCCAATAGGTCCCATAGCATCCTAGCTTGTATCAGCGATAGTGCAGCCAGCAGGAGCAGGAGCTGATCGTCCCTCTGTACTTGGCTTTGGTGAGGCCACACCTCCAGTGCTGCATTTAAAACTGCCCATAAGGAGGTTGCAGCAAGGTGGGAATTGGCTTCTGCTCCCAGAGAACAGCGATAGGAGGAGAGGTGATGGCCTCAAGTTGCACCAGGGGAGGTTCAAATTGGATATTAGGAAACATTTATTCTCCGAAAGAGTGGTAACACATTGGCACAAGCTGCCCAGGGAGGTGGTGGAGTCACCATCCCTGGAGGTGTTCCAGAACTGTGGAGATGTGGCACTGAGGGATGTGGTTACTGGGCATGGTGAGGATGGGTTGATGGTTAGAGTTGTTCTTAGAGTTCTTTTTGATGATTTAATGATTCTAAGAGAAAAGGCATCTCAAGGTCTAACTTCTGGACGAAGATGTTGGTGAAGTTCCACTGAAATGCAAGATTTAACAGCAAGGATACACAGCAGCTGGACTGGCTACCAAAAGAGGTGACAGAATCCTGGGCAAGGAGCTGTCTGTGTGAGTGACCAAAATACTCACCTGCCCTTTGAACCCTACTGAGCACATCTTCATGGGAGACACATCACTGAATTATAGCCCAAACTTCCCCCATCATGGTCAAGGACAGCAATTTGGCTTCTTACTCAGGAGCTGCTTCTGCCAAAACCAGGAGGAGCTCCTGTCACTTCCCTTTGTTACCAACTGGTCACAATGACCCCCATAAATAAAGCAGCTAATTAATGCCCTTCTCCTCCCACCAGCGACTGGCCATGACCTTGAATGACCTTGCTGAATTTAACTTCCTCTACCAGCTATTTTTGACAGCAAATAATTTAACATCCTTGTGACCCCAGCCTTGCCTCTCTCCTGCCAACTGGCTCTGCAGCTTAAATGAACAGCAATAAATAAATACATATCTGCAGAGGGACCTAAATGACTCCCATTATTGGAGCATCTGAAGGCCCGCTTAAATAAATCAAGTGAGGAGGAGATTATGCTGCAATCATGTGGAGAGGAAAAGGAGAGAATACATTACTGGTATTCCAGAGGCTTTAACAGGGCCGAGCGACTTTGTAAAAGTCAGAAAAATGCCATTCAATTCAAGCACAGCCAGAGGAACTGGGTTGGATTCAACAGTTGGGTACAACGTTGGGTTCATCGGTTGGGTACAACCTGGTCTGGTGGTTGGTTGGTTGGTTGGACCCTGCACGAAGCAGGGGGGTTGAAATTAGGTGATCACTGTGCTCCTTTCCAGCCCAGGCCATTGATTCTATGATGCATCAGTTGGGTTCATCGGTTGGGTTCCTTGGCTGGCATCTTCAAAAAGATGCAGAGCAGAAGCTCTGCTCACCCTCGCCAGGCTCCCGCAGTGGGGACACGCATGGGGAAGGAATCACAATTTGCCAACACTTTGTTTTTTTCCTTATTTCTTCTTTATTTATGGCACATTTTTCCCTTTATTCCAACTTTATTTATAAGATCCGGTCTTAAAGCCTCAGTATTTCATCCTCCCCCCTTGCCCACCCTTCATGTCGCTCATCACCGCAGCCTCATGCATCCCAATGAGGAGCCACCGCATGTTGGTATCAATTATATGCACATAATTTAGAATAACATCAGGCTCCAGTTGCTGACTTGTTTCTTATTTCTTTTTTAACTGCTTTTTCATTCCTTTCCTTTTGTCCACTGCAGTATCCCCTGTCCCCACTGGGAGTGATAAACTCCCATAAACGCCGCTCTCCCCATATCCTTGACCCCAGCTTGTCCCCAACCCAATGACCCCTTAACCTAAACCCTAGAACCCCAACAACCAACCCAAACCATCAAACAGATAAAAATGTCTCTTTGCTTCTATTGCCACTATGGAAGACTACAGAAGGCAACAGGGCAGCAGATATGTGCACTGTTGGGATGAACGATGTGTTTATCAACCATCACTAATTAATACTGAGGTATTAACATGATTATTGGAGTGTCATCAATCAATTAACGTTGATGGATGCCGATTAAAGCACATAAACTAGAATGAGCTTCCCTCCCTGCCCTGTTTTTAGGGCCATTACTGAAGATTTGAGGCTTGGGGTTGGAGACCTGCATAGGGTCTGTCCTCCTTTCCTCCTTCCCTCATAAAAACCTTCACAAACTGAGATTTCACCTTTTCTATCTGTTTTGTTCTTTGACTTTTGCTGCTGGAGTTGTCCATCATGGGTTCCTAATATGATTTCCCCCACCCCCCCCCCATTTTTTCTTTTGTATATTTTTATTGGGGTGAGGGGAACAAAAAAAAGAAAAAAGAAAAAACCATGGAATGGGGTCATTGCACTGACCTGGTTTTGAGCACAACCAGACCACAGCAGCCCCCAGGCCTGCGAGCAGAGAGGAAAACACACAAGGAGAAGGAAAACATGAACAAAGGCTTTTGCTGCCAGGGAAAAACATTGCATTCCTGGAACGACACTCTGGCAAACGAACTAAAATAGCCCCAACACAAATAGTGCATGAGTTGAATATGTGACAAAAGTTACAAAACAAAAGCTCATTTTTAGGTATATTTGCATGGCGAGAGCACACGTTTTCCACCGTGCCACCCCAGCCCCATTGCACATGGGCCAAGCACCTGCCCCCTCCTCCGTGAATCATGCTTCCCTCTTGCAAACCAGACAAAGGGAATGGATTTGGGTTCTGAAAAACGCGGCTCTTTTGGGAAGATTCCTATCCAAATCTTGCACCCTGATTGCTCTCCCCATACAGGTGATGCCCTGGGGCACTGAGAAGCTAGGGACTGGTGTCAGTGCCTGGTGCCACCTCCATCCCCCAAATTCTCATCACAATTCCCCCCAATTCCCACCCCTACCCCCCTACTTCCCAAATTCAGTCCCCAATTCCTATTCCAATTCCCCTAATTCACCTAATTCCCACCTCTACACCCCCAATTCCCACTCCTAGCTCTCAAATTACCCAATTCCATCCCCAATTCCTATTCCTTGTCCCCCAATTCCCATGTCTAGTCCCCCAATTCCCACCTCCAGCCACCAAAGTCCCCAAGTCCCAGTTCTCACCCCCAGACCTCCAATTCCCACCTTACTTCTTCTCAATTCCCACATCCAGCCCCCAATTCTCACCCAGAATCCAACTCCCAGTATCCACTCCCAGCCCCCAAATTGATGCTCCCAGCCCCCCAGTTCCAATCCAATTCTCCCAACTCCCATTCTCTTCCCCAGACCTCCAATTCCACCCCCATCCCCCCAATCCTCACCTCTCAGCTCCCACCCTGATTCCCCCAATTCCCACCCCCCCCAGCTTCCCAGTTCCTACTCCAAACCCCTTGGCTCCCCGTGAGACTCATATCTACTCCCAGACCCCAACTGCTGCTCCCAGCCCCACAATTCCCACCTCAACCCCTGGTTCTCACCTCCCAGATCTCAAATTCCCACTCCCATCCCCCTAGTTTCCAATCCAAATTCCCACTCCCATCCCCCCAGTTTCCAATCCAGACCCCCACTTCTCACCTCTACACCCATAATAGCCACTGCTACACCCCTACTGTTACTCCCAGCCCCCTAACTCCCACCTCAATTCCCATCCCTCCAGCTCCCCTAACTGGGTGACTAGAAGTCACCCAGTTCCCAATCCAGGCCCCTACTTCTCACCCATAGAATCATAATACCCACTCTCACACCCCTATTGCTATCCACTCCCAGCTCCCTGACCCCCACCCCAATTCCCATCCCCTTATCTCCCAATCCCCAACGCCCTCAATTCCCACAATTCCCACCTTTCCCACCCTCGACCACTTCCCCACAACTCCTGAACCACTGCCGGATGCACCCTTCCTCCGACCGACTGCCATCACTCTCATCTCCCAACCCAGCCCCTATATCCCGGGCATCCCTCTCCACCTCCACCTCCGTTCCCATCTCCCGGCCCCACGCAGGCGCGGCGCTGCCCTCCCCGTCGGGGCGGCGCTTGGGGCTGGAGCGCTGCGGGCATCGGAGCTCCGGGAGCGGCTGCAGCGGAGCGGTGGGATATCGGAGCTCCGGCAGCTCGAAGGTACCGAGAAAACCCCGGGATGACCGATGGAAGGGTTTCTCCCTGGCTTTTTCTTCAACCCCGAGGCTGTGACTGCGCGCTGTGCCCGGGGAGGGTGGGACTGCAGCCTTTCGGGATACCTTGCTCCCTTTAGGATGAAGCTATCCCATTTGGGATGGCACCGTTTCCTTTGGGATGCTCGGGGCACTTGTGGCTTTGGGGACGGTGTAAGGGGGGACAACTGCATGGTGAGGGGTGAAGAAAGGTTTTAATGGGGGGGGAAGGGGTAAGGAAATGCATGCACACCCCTGCACTGCTTTGCTTTAAACACGGTGCTGCTCTTGGCTCGAAGAAGAGGCTGAGATTTTGGGGATGCTGCAGATTGGGGTTGTGCAAATCAGACCCCTGAATGCTTAAAACCTTTCAGCTGCTCCCAGTGCAGCTGAGCTGAAGTGAAACTTTCGGCAGCGAGGCCTCGTGGAGAGCAGCATCAGCCACAGAGCATGGGAGGGGAAAGCTGGGAGGTTTCAGAGTTCTTCTTTGTTCTGAATTTCTGGGACAAACCCAATGGCTTTTAGAAAGTTAAAGTGAGATAGAGAGCTCCTGTCCTCAGGGTGACACAGGGAGGAAAGCGATGTTTCTGCAGGTTCCCGAGCAGGGATGTGAGCCTGGCTTTCCCTTGTCCCTGTGATAGGAGGCATTACCTCTTTCTCCCCGTTTTTTTGCTGCCCTGAAAATGTTATTTCAGAGCTGAAAACACCAGCCTGGTGCTTTTCAATTGGGCGTCCCATCAGGAGTGTCTGTGTGCCTGCACCCCTCACCTCCTGTGCTGGTCACTGCCAGCTGAGCCTGGGATGCACGCACAGCACTTGGGTTTATTACCACGTATATATTATCAATTAATTATTGCCAATTCCCATTATGCTGCTGCCTGGGTGCTGGGGAGAGCTGGCAGACAGCAAGAGGAGATGAGAGCAGGGCACTGTTTGCAGGGATAGAGGGATGCTGTTAAATCCTACGGCTCGCTTTCTCACTGCATCCAGCCAGGACGGCGCTTTGTGGGCTGCTCTCATCTCCCTGCTGGCCTTCATCCCTTGGGATCATCCTCCAGGGAACCCCTTCCCCATTGGGTTATGGAAGAATTAAGGTGGTGGTACAAGGGAAGAGCTGCTTCTATCTTCCCCACCCCTTGGGATTGCCCCCTAGAAAGCCCCTTCCCCAAGGTTTCTGATGGAAGAGTTAAGGCGGTGGGACTATGGAGTGGGGTTGGGATGGACTCAGCTTGCAGCAGGTGCAGGGACTTCCCTAGAGGCTCTGCAGCTTCATCCCATTGGGAAGAGCATGAATTTGGGCAGATTTCTCTTCTAAGGTGCTGCGTGGCTCTGGGATAAGGAGGATTTGGGGCTGGTAGGAGGAAATGATCTCCAGTCTGTGTGCTGGTGTCTCCTTTGTGAAGGGCCATGTTGGTATTCCCCCCCCCCGAAGTGGGTGCAGAGCAGACGTGGTGAAGCTCAGCTGTATCCCTGAGATAAATGTTGTCTTTGATTATACCTCAAAAAAAAGCAACAAAAAAGGAAGAAATAAATCCAGCTCTGCCATGCCCTGTTGCTGCACAGATTAATAACAAAGCATTGATGCTTTAAGAAGGCTTTGGATCTGATCCCGAGAGGAGATTTAGACAGTGTTTGTGCTGGGGTATGATGATGATGCTAAGAATGGGTGCATTCTGTAAATCTGTTCATACTTATAGAATCATTACCAGACATTTTCGGCTGGTTCAGAGGTGCCAAAATCCCTTTCCTGGCTTGGTCCAAGCAGGCTGGTGTGTGGGGAATGAGAACGATGCAGTAAGGGCTGGGTGAGCATCATGGTGATGCTCTGGGTGTTCCTGCTGGGGCAAGGATGGGCCAGATGGACCCAGAGGTTCCTCCAACCTCTGCCATTCCACAATTCTGTGATCGTATACAGTCCCTCCTCCTCCTCACAAGTCTCTATGATTTGTTCCCATTTCTCTTCCCCACCTGTGTTCAGGTTTCAGCCTGTAGGGAGCCAGTGGTGTGATGGGATGCTCATGGAAAGAATTTATTTGCTGGTGTCTTCATCTGTGGTTCAGCAGTGGGTTTTCATTGACCTGCTTCATATTCAGGTCCAGACAGTTCTCCTCCACTTCCTATCCCATCCCACGTCCCCATGGGTGGAACCATGGCTGTGTGATGAGATTGTGGTGCTTACTCCAGCTCTGCTCACTTCCACCTGATTACCCAGGGAGAAAGGACTGAGCTCACTCCAAAAAATGGATGCAGCCCATTCCCTTTGCTGGGGCTGCTTTGATTGCACCCGCTGAGCTGCAGCATTTTAACCCTTTCCTGCTCTTAGGGACTTGATTAGCAGGCATGGTGGGGATGGGTTGATGGTTGGCCGTGGTGATCTTGGAGGTCTTTTCCAAGCATTATGATTCCATGACTCCCCTTTGTACCCTGGGGGGATAACTCAAAGGTTATTGGTGTCAGATTGAGGAGTATGTATGGGTAGCTGCTGGAGGCATCAATGGAAACGGTGTCTGAGTTAATCACAGAATGGCCAGGGTTGGAAGGGACCTCAAGGATCATGAATCTCCAGCCCCCCTGCCACATGCAGGGCCACCAACCTCCACGTTTAATGCTAAACCAGGCTGCCCAGGGCCCCATCCAACCTGGCCTTGAACACCTCCAGGGACGGGGCTTCCACAACCTCTCTGGGCAGCCTGTTCCAGTACCTCACCACTCTCTGGGTAAAGAATTTCCCCCTGATGTCCCATGTTTTGATCCTCTCTAGGGAATAATAACATGAGAGGTAATGTCTTCAGGTTGCGTCAGGGAGGTTTGGGTTGGATGTCAGGAAAAATTTCTTCTCCAAAGGAGTGGTGATGCATTGGCACAGGCTGCACAGGGAGGTGGTGGAGTTGCTGTCCCTGGAGGTATTCAAGGACCGTGGAGATGTGGCACTGAGGATGTGGTCAGTGGGCATGGTGGGGTGGGTTGGGGTTGGACTTGGGATATTAGAGTTCTTTTCCAACCTCAGTGATTCTGTGATCCTATGAAAAAGCCCCATTTCTCCTTTGTACTCTGGGACAGAGCAGACTTCAGCAGCTCTTGCCTTTCTTCACAGAGTATTCTTTTGCAGCCAGCATTGCAGATCCTCGTGCTCCAAGGCTAGGACAGATGATAGCTCTGCAGTGCCCCGTAGGTCAGCAGACCATCTCCTCTGGGCCTGATCCAGCTCTATGGGGTGGCTGAACCCAGCTCCCCTCCTCCTGCACATCCCTGGGCAGCTTTCATGTGCTTCACAGGCGATGGCCCAATTCAGCAGTGCTTTGACACATTTAACCTTAAAACACTCCAGCACATTAAAAAAAAAGCAAAAAACCAACACCCTGACAACACTCCTTGTGCCTTAGTTTGCCCTTGGGGTTAAAGGAATGATTTTCATCCTTCTGCTCTTCATTTCCTGCGTCGTTTCTGCTCGCTCGTATCCTGCAGTTTCAACCAGTCTGGAAGTTTTAATGCTGCCCACAACCAGGAAATGTGGCAGCGTGCATCAGCAGCGAACAAACATTTAAGGGTTTTTCCTTGTGCAAGCTTAAATTGTTACGAACAAGGGAAATTTCCAACCAGACTTACAGGTGAAGCGGCAGCAGCAGCTTGAGGGCTTGCAAAGCACTGCGACCATCCTCACTCTGCCCCATTGCAGCAGAGGTGGTGGGGCAGATCTTCTCCCTGACTGCAGCTCTGCTTTACAGCTCTGAGGTTTATTCTGCAATATTTTCTTGCTGTGAGGTTTATCTGACAATAACTGACCTGACACGGCTGCAGCAGCCCAGAGCAGTGCAGTTTCCAGCACGGGGACAAAATTGCAGGGGAAAAGGGCAAAGCTGCAGCTCTGCACATGAAGCAAGATGCCTTCCCCCTCTTGTGCTTTTACTGCTCTTTTTCTTTGTATCTCCAGTTAAATCGCAGAGTGGGTTCAGTGGGGGAGAAAACACATCCCTGCAGCAAGGAGACCTCTGCCCATTGCATTTCTATGCTTTTTTGATGTAGCATGCAGGCAGCTCTTGTTAGCTAGCCTACATCCCTTCCCAGCTGTCCCAAGCTCATATAGAAAAGAAGGAAGCATGCTGATTAGTTGCTCAGGGTTTGCTTGTTTTGTTGTTCCTTTGGGTTGTTGTTTCTTTGCATTTTTTTTTTGCTTGCAAGCCACACCCTGGCAAGCAGAGCTTCCCACCAAGTCTTTGCACACTCAGCTGCTCCCCAACCTTGCAGAGCAGGTCCTGCCACTAGTCTGAGCACGTGTGCATGCTGCCAGGATTGCTTTGGGCTGATTAAGGGAGTGAAAGCAAAGGGAAGCCGTGCACAGATAAAAGATGCAGCTGCAAACCCTCCATTTGCAAGCAGCTGTTGCAGAGGCATTGGTTAAGGGCCTTAAGAAATCCTCGCCCAGAAGAAATCTTCAGAGCTGGGAGGATGGCTGCTTTCTTTCCTACCCATGTGGGATTCCTCCTGGTGGTGCTGTCTGTAGGTTCAGCCTTTGGGGGATGTCAACCAGGGTGGATGTTCTGGCAGGAGCAAAGGATTGGGGTTGCAGCCCTGCACATGAAGTTGGACTTGCAGCAGTGGTTTGGTCTCCCTGTTTGTAGTTGTGGCATGGTGTTGGGTCAGCTCAAGCTGGGGAGCCTCTCTGGTGGCTCAAGGTCATATCCTGGGATCCTGGGGGTTGATTGTGTTGTAGAATGGCTGGGAAGCAAAAGCAAAGGAAGGTAGGTGCTGCCCATGGGCATGAATCCCTACCAAAAGTCCAATAGTATTGGTGCATAGAATCATTGGAGTTGGAAGGGGCTTTTAAAGGTCATCTAGTCCAACTTCTCTGCAGTGACCAGGGGTATCTACATGGAGATGCCCGATGTTTTCTGGAGGTCACCGTGCCTTGTAAAATGGATCTGTTCCTCCCTGAATGTTTCTGCTATGGACAGAGAACCAAAGGCCATG